CCCCCCCGTTTTTCCTGGTACTATGTAAGGATATTGTATTTATATTATATTATGATATGTATTGTTGTTCAGTTCCAGGAAAATTTATATGCCTGAAGAAGATTTGTTCGAAACATGCAGGATATGCCCGGGAAGCGTGTTGCTAGGCTTGCTTGCTAGCTGAATCACCTCATGGGAAAATACATCTACTAAGCTTGCTTGCTAAGCTGAATCATCACAGTGAGAAATACAAGCTGCCTGCTAGCTTTACCTGATGGATCATCACTTGGGAAATGTACAATAGGTTGCTGCATTGTTCGGTGCAAATAACTGTACATTGGTATCTATCCTCCATCAGGAAGAAGACAGTTTATACTGGAGTGGGTTTCTGCGATTATGGACTCTTCGTGTTATATAATTTAGTTTGAAAGTGTTTGAAATGTTGATGTTGTAGTTTGAAAGTGTTTACAATACACTAGAGTTGATGTTGTGTATATAAATCAAATATATTTAGCTATAAGTGCATGTGAATATTGCGTGTATTATTTCAACACGGTGTTTTCTGTGTATCTAACTTAGCCTTCCCTGTGTGCTTGTTGTTGCCCATCTAGATACTGGCAACACTAACAACGCTAGAGTCACAGAATTAGAAAAAAACAAACAAAATGTAGTACCTATTCCCTACATAAATTGCAGATATAGGTAAGTTATCAGTCAGCCTTTGAATAATGTACAGGGCCCATCCTAAGCAGAGTTAACACTGTTCTAACTCCATTAAAGTCAATGGGCTTAGAGAGGTTCAACTCTGCTTAAGATTGCATTGCTAAGTACTTGTTAGCTACTTGTTTATGGTCACAGAAACTTTTCGTCATTTGTACCATTTACCAATTGATTCTTGGGGCTACACAGAAGCAAGTTCTATGGAGATCAGTGAACTTATTTTCATAAGTATGTTAAAGATTCAAGACATTGTGAAATCCTTTTACTTCTCAATTTTTTTCTCAATGATGCACAAACAATATCACTTTGCAACTTTGATAAAATATTTAAGAGATCCTGTGTAAACTACAGCTTAAGTAGCAGTACATCTTAAAAGCAAATTTTGAAGAGAACTGCTGTAATTATGAAAATTAAAAACTTAAATTTTGAATTTTTAAATATTCTCTGTAGATCCATTAAAACCAGGGATATTTTTATTGGTACATTAAAAAACATGGTAACCAGAGTCCAAATAACAACAACATGAAAATTTATATAATCATTTTAAAACACAAAATATAGTGTTAGAAGGGAATCTGTTGGCAGGAGCCAAAATTATTGTGGAGAAAAGGGAGTAAGTCTTACAAAACCATCAACTAAGGATTGATGTAAGAGGTTCTGAGATTATCACGATCATATGAGGATTGGCTGCTATTACTAAGGTGGGTAGCAGTGTTATTAATCTGTCTGAGTCATGCCGGCCACATAACCACAGAAATGTCTTCAGACAGCGCTGACTCTTTGGCTTGGAAACGGAGATCAGCACCGCCCCCTAGAGTCAGATTCGACTAGCTTTCAAGCAAGGGAAACCATTACCTTTAACAGTAGAAAAGAGTAAGAGTCCAGTAGCGCCTAAAAGACTAACAACATTTGTGGCAGGGTAGGAGCTTTCGCTGCTCTATCCCTACCTGAAGAAGTGAGTGGTGACTCTCAAAAACTCATACCTTACCACAAACTTTGTTAGTTTTTAAGGTGCTCTTACTCTTTTCTACTGCTATTACCAAGTCCATGTAAATCAAGAAAAACAATGAAAGGAAGTTGTAAGGGAACAAAATTGCCCTAGAGAGAAGAGAGTAGAAAACTACAGTGTACTTTGGATGCCATCTAGTCTTGAGTTTTAATGTTATATACAGCAACTGGTTGATTTAGTTGAAAAGATTTGTTGGTCTTGATTTAAATAATGTTCATAATCTGAAGTATTTCAAAAATGTGTATTTCAAAATCTTGATCACTAGATTATCTTAAATGATGCTTCTCCCCTTCCAAATGTGAAATTCTTTCTCTATCTGAAGCTCTTCTCTCTTTCCTACTGTATCCATTGTAGGGACGAATCCAAGAAATTCCACAGGAAACTAAAACGGTATTAAGGGGGAAATATGCTGATGCTCACCTGCATATTTCTCAGTAACTGGAAGATCTCCATGGTGCGAAATACAATATCCTGCACGGTCTCTTGGCCAATGCGACAGAGAGATGCGGTGTTCACTTCTCGAGCAGCTTGAGACTGGGGACCGGAAAATGGTCCAGTGGGCATACTTGCTCCTGCTAGAGGAGGGGTGGACATTGCTGAAATCTGATGCGCTTCCCGGGATCAAGCTGTACAAAGAGAAGAAAACGAGTCTCAGAAATTGGATACATGCTCGGTAGAAATAGAAGGGGTTGTTTACCTACACTGTTATTTTCCCCACCTACACATGTGTGAACGAAACAAATTATTATATGGTTATGTTCCAGTTGTACACACTGAATCTAAACCAGCTCTGATTCCTCCAAAGACAAGCTCGCAACAGAGTTCTTAATGGCAAACATGAAATTTAAGTTCTACTTGCCTTACTATACATTTCTCATCATACTGGAATTTTTTACCTGTTCGGTGTCGCTACGTAAAAGGACTTATAGATGCACATGTATACTGTGCAACCTACCCAGAAGCTTATTTTTTAAATTCTCATTCTTTTCTCCTGCCATATCCCACCCCAACACTCAAAACCACCTTTAATGTTCCTGCTTTTTTGGCTGCAGCCAACTAATAACCATAACTATAGCAGGTCTATGGAGTATTCTTTTAAAACATTGCTTTATTGAAGCTCTGAAACTGGTTCACAAGGTTAACCATGAAATGCTGCCTAGCCTTTCAGGTATATGAGGAAATAGTGACAGCTTTTAAAAGACTATTTAGAGTATAAATAATTAGATAGCCTATTCTTTTTCTAGCTTACTTTAAAAGCAGAGAATTCTTTTTCTGGCTTATTATAAAAGCAGAGGATTTAATCAAAGCATTAACAGGCTCCCATGAACCATCTAATTACAGAGCCTCCTGGTTCGCTCACCCACTACTGACATCCTAACTCTCCATTAACTGAGCCCTGTGCCATTTTGGGGTGGAAGCACAAGGCGACCAAGGAGTAGGGGCCAAAATCCATGATGACAGGGTGAGGAGATATTTTCAACACCATTTAAGCATGGCTTTGCATATCAAGCATAAATGGAGAATGTTTCCATGCTTCTAAAGTAACACACAAAGAGGAACACTGCAATAGTTTCTCCACATTAATGAACCCAAAGTTATTCACATCCCCTCTACCTTATGCTCAGCAATGAACTGAAAACAGTGGGAGAGAAACTGGACACAAAGGGGCAATCACTCTTGAACATACAATGCATTCACAGGCACCTACACACCAGTGGCTAAGTTTCTGCCACCTAAAATAAGCAGTAGCACTCGTCATGTCAGCCAAGTGAATGGGTGGGGGGATCTGGAAACCCTTCATCGAATAGGGTGCAAATCTGTCCGGAACATAATAGCATAAGAAGAGCCCTGCTGGATCAGACCAATAGTCCTTCTAGTCCAGCATCCCATCTCACACAGTGGCCAACCAGTTCCTCTGGAGGGCCAACAACAGGTCATAGAGGCCAAGGCCTTGCTCTGATGTTGCCTCCTGGCTCTAGGTTTCAGAGGCTTAGTGCCTCTGAATGTGGAGGTTCCTCTCAGTCACCACGGCTTACCCTCCATGAATATAATCTACCTAATCCCCTTTTGAAGCTGTTCATTCCTGTGGCCATCACCAACACTGAACTTCATTTGCCACTTAGTCACCCACTCACCCAGTTTGTGGAGATCCTCTTGAAAGCACCCACTGACATTGGGGTTTGCTCTTCACATGCTCAGAGGCACTCTTGTTTCAAGAGCCTAGATTTTCTAGAAGGCTAGCCTATAGGCAAGAGCAATTTCATTTTGCTTTGGACGGCTGCTAGATTTTTAAGTAGTTTAGGAAAAATAATGCATTTTATTTAATTTACCTAGAGAAAAATAAGGCATCTGGACAACAACAGGCCATTGAGGCCGAGGCCTTTCTCTAATGTTGCCTCCTGCCTCTGGGATTCAGACGCTTAGTGCCTCTGAATGCAGAGGTTCCCCTCAGCCACCATGGCCAGTATCTATCAGACCTATCCTCCATCAATCTCTAATTCCCCTATCTATTTCTTTATTCCTGTAGCGATCACGACATTCTCTTGCAGCAAATTCCACATTTTAATTACTCTCTGTATAAAGTAGTCTTTCCTTTTGTCCACCCTGAGCCTATTGCCCATCGGTTTCATTGGATGCCTTCAAGTCCTAGTATTTTGGGAGAGGGAGAAAAGTGCTTTGTCCTCTCTCTCCATCCATGCATCATTTTATAGACCTCTATCATGTCTGCCCTTAGTCGCCTCTTTTCTGAACTGAAAAGTGCCGGACTCTTCAGCCTTTCCTCTTAGGGAAGATGCTCTAACCCCCTGATCATCTTGGTTGCCCTCCTCTATACTTCTTCCAGCTCTACAGTGTCCTCTTTGAGACACAGTGACCAGAACTGTACACAGTTTTGCAAATGAAGCCATGCCATAGATCTGTACAGGGGCATTACAATATCAGCCATTTTACTCTCAGTCTCTTTCCTAATAATTCCTAACATAGATTTTTGCTGTTTCCACCACTGCAGCACACTGGGTGGTTGACACTTTCATTGGGCTATCCGCTACGACCCCAAGATCTTTCCCCCTTTCAGCCCCGATACTTGAAGTTGGGATTTTTTGTCCCAATGTGCATCACCTTACACTTACCAGCAATGAACTTCATTTGCCATTTTGTCACCCACTTAACCCAGTTTGTGGAGGCCCTTCTTGGAAGCACCCACTGACATAGGGGTTTGCTCTTCACACGCTCAGGGGCACTCTTGTGTCTAGAATCTAGATTTTCTAAACGGCTAGCCTACAGGCAAGATCAATTCCATTTTCCTTTCGACAGCTATTAGATTCTTACATTGTTAAGGGGGAAATAATACATTTTATTATGTATTTTATCTAGAGAGAAATAAGCCACCTTGCAGTGACATTACAGCGTGGGAAAGAACTGCAGGTTTTTAAAACAGAAACAGAATATGGCCCCGCTTAGCAGCAGCCAGAAACTATTCACTGACAGAGGGAACAGCTGAATGAAGGGGGGGGGGAGAGAAATCCGCCTCGCGGATGCGCGACTTACGGGAGTCTGAAAGTCGGAGAAGAGGCAGAGAACGATCATTCACCTGTCTGCGGTTGCCCGGGAAACCGAACCAAGGACTCCGGAAAAATAAACCGGAAAACGGAAGTGGCGTAATGGGAGGACAAAACCATAGAGGTGCTGGGAAGAGAGAGGCGACTATAAAGAAACTATTGGGAGAGTCGAGGAAAGCGAGGCGCAGGGAAGGCGGAGCTTAAAGGGAAGGGGCGGGTCAGAGGAGTTTTGGTGAGTAGGGATTGGCAGGAAAGCAATGAGGGGCGTAACTGATTGGGTGTTGTGAATGCGGGCTTGTTAGCTGGCTAACAGTAGCCAGATTGCCACCTCTTTTTCCTCGTGATGTGCTTTTAGCACCGGAATATGGAGGTTTTAGCAGGTGAAGCCTTTCCCCAGCGGGACACTAAGCGGGTGGGAAACGCTTATTTGATTTCTGTTTATGATCGATCTTACCACATGCACCTTATGGGTCTCCCTTCGTCCTTTTATCTTACAACAGCCCTGCAGGGTAGTTTCGGCTGACAGAAAGTGCCTTGAACGCCGCAGTCCCCAGTCCTGGGCAGAATAGTACTTGTTTGTTTATTCGCATTATTCGTAGTCCGCCTTTCTCACTGAGGCTTCATACACGCCACGCTGGCTCTGAACACCTGCAATCTTCCTAAAAGGAACCTTCGAGCATTTAAGAAAACAAGGAAGCAAGCAAGGAGAAGGAGGGAGATCAAAACCGATGCCTCTGCTATTTTCATGCAATCATGAAGGCGGGCTAGCAGGCAAAATTATAGGTTTGCAACAAATTCTTGTGGGATGGTGGAGTAGATTGGTGCGGAACCTGAAGGTGTGCTTGTTGTTTTTGTTAGTTTCCGAATTGCTATGCAATGAGATAGAAAGCCCCCCCCCACCCCCAAAATAGTATAATGGAAGAGAGCCCACATAGGCTCCAAGAAGTTACTGCTTCTGGAAAGTGAAAAGGCTCTGTGTTTTTGGCTCTTTGGGTGCGGCAAGACATTTTGTAGCTCTCAGAGAGAGGAGTAACCGCTTTTGCAAACCAAAATTAATAATCCATCCAAGTCCAGGTTGACAGTTGCTTTATCTCAATGTCTTCTTTAGAAGTTCCATCATTATTCAAGGTGACTAGAAGCAGATGGAATTGTATCTTTTTATTGGACTCATGCTGCCTATGAAACCTTTTAGACTTTCACAGTTTTCCTCTTGCAGCGTGTAGAAGTCGGGACATCCCGTAGAAGTCTTTTTGTTTTTGAGCCCATGGTGTAACTTGAAATCTGAGTGGCACCCATCAGCATGTAATCCAATTTAGTCTGGTTTCTTTTCAATAAAGTTGCAAGGTGCTGACAAACTTTGCTGTTTTCCATCATGCTCTAAATGTCTTTCTCTCCCCTTTGCTGTTCATTTAAGAGAGCAATTCTTTAAAAAGGGTCTACTTGGAATCATTTTTATTGTTAATTTATATGTTGTGAGTCGCCCGGATCCCACTTGTGAGGTTGGGTGGAATATAAGCTTAATAAATAAATAAATAAATGCTAGATATAAGAACATAAGAGAAGCCCTGCTGGATCAGGCCAAGGGCCCATCCAGTCCAACACTGCGTCACACAGTGGCCAAAACCCAGGTGCCATCAGGAGGTCCACCAGTGGGGCCAGGGCTCCAGAAGCCCTCCATATATTGCCCCCCAAGCACCAAGAATACAGAGCATCACTGCCCCAGACATAGTGTTCCATCTATACATTGTGGCTGATGGCCGTCGGCTGTATTATCCAAGCCCCTCTTGAAGCTGTCTATGTTTGTAGCTGCCACCACTTCCTGCAGCAGTGAATTCCATGTGTTAATTATTCTTTGGGTGAAGAAGTAGACAGTTCTATTCAGTGGGGCTTACTCCAAGGAAGGTGTTACTGTGCGACTGAACAACAACAAAAGCCTGCAAAAGCTTTTGTGAAATTTTGGCTGGTTAATTCCTGGAGACTGGGGGTGAAGCCTGGAGAAGAGGATATAATGACACAGAGTCCCTTCCAAATCAGCCATTTTTCTCCAGGGGAACTGATCTCTATAGTCTGGTGATGAGTTGCAATTCTGGGAGATCTCCAGCTCCCACCTGGAGGTTGGCAAACATAGTCTCCTGGGAAGCCACCATGCATGCATTTGGCTGGGGGGACTACTAGAAGTGGAAGTACAGTTTAAGGATAAAAATAGCAACCAGATCCGAAAAGAAGATTCAGGATAGTCCATGTACCAGTGGAAATGTCTTGTGTTAGACTGAAAACAGTTATGTCCATATGGTGGAGGGGGGGTGTCATGAGTTTATTTCCTTTCTGGTGCTGAGGCTGATAAGAATCGAGGATCCCTGTTTCCACAATTAGCATCACACTCAGGACATTCTCTCCAATGATTCTGACACTGACTGCTGGAGAGGCCAGATGGGGGCATTTATACACCAGCGACTCTTTCCTAAATAGCATCTCAAGATCAAAGCGCGGGGCGAGAGTGGGGATGCTGCATTAAAGCTGACGGCACGTACATTCTTCCCTATGAAATGCGTAATGCTTGTAACTGTGGTTACAAATCAAAAGTCTAGAGCCCAGTACACAGCCTTACTTAAAAGGGAAAAAAGATGAAAGCAGTCAAGGAGCATTTATGGATGAGAGCTGTATAAATTTACCACCGGATTTAGCTTTTACGGTAGATAACTTTGCCTTCTTTTCTTTCCTCAAAAGTAAAAAACACGGCCACAGGTCTGTGTAGCGTCATGCCTAATTTTGGATAGGATTTGGGATTTGGGCTGCCAACTTCCAGGTGAGAGCTGCAGACCTCCTGGTATTACAACTGGCCTCCAGACATTTACAGGGCTCAGTTCCTGGGAGGAAACGGCTGCTTTAAATGGTGCACTCCATGGCATTATACTCTTCTGAAGTCCCTCCCTTCCCCAAGCCTCACCCATCAGTGTTCCCTCTAAGCTGAGTTAGTGTGAGCTAGCTCACAGTTTTTTAGCCTCCAGCTCACCCATTTTTGTCCTCGCTCAGGAAGGATGGCTCCAGAGCGGACTAATTTATGCCGAATCACCTGCTCACAACTTTAATGCCAGTAGCTCAGAAAGTAAAATTTGTGCTCACAGGACTCCACAGCTTAGAGGGAACATTGCTCACCCTCCCTAGGTTCCACCTACAAATCTCCAGGAATTTACCAACGCTTTCTTGGCAACTCTAATTGGGCTATGTGCTTAGGAATAAAATGAGTGTGATCAGAGCCTCTCAGAGTTTGAAACAGCCCCGGGCCATTTTTAAAGGCTCCTGGTATGAATGAAGAAATGCCAAAACAGGGTTATAAAAAAACTATGGTATATTTTAAATGTTTACATTTAACAAATCAATGCTTTCAACACAAAAAAATTACAATGCGATAATTCGTAATAAATGCTCCTTTTTATTTAACACAGGCTTTTCTAGCTTCTCCCTGTGCAGATGCTTGTGACTGTAGGTATAACTTCATTTGGAGATAATATCAAAAGTTTAAATTTGAGGGCCCTTCCTTGTGATAGGGCCTGATTGTGACACTAGGAATCCTGTGAATAACATGTATGTATATATCCCAATCAGCTCATGTGAATTGAAGGCGGAGTTCAGTTCGGCAATTCCGCACTCCTCCTTTCCCCACCCCATCATGTTCCTTCTGCCTGCACTGGATATCTGAAAAGTTTTGAAGCCATCACAGTTGCAACCTTTTTAGGGCACGCTGGGGAGGGAGTCCCCATGTAACCACAAGTATGTCAGAGAGGAGGGCTACATGCAAGTCCTCTCAGTACACATGTGAACATGCACAGCGGCCCAAGCGGTGCTCCACTCCATTTAGCTCAGTGTCATCTCCTGTGATTGGCAGAGGACCTCTAAAGTCCCAGGCAGAACGTTAGGACATTGTTAGGAATAACTGCTAATACACATGAGCAACATAATAAAGAGATTTGAACCAGGTGAGGGCCAATGAGCCCAGTTCCCGCTGGCGGGAATAGAAACGCGCGCCCATTTCATGGGAACCTAACAGTTATACACAATCTACACAGGTTCAGTTCACAGGCTAGATACCCATAACAAGCCGAGCGAAGCACCGACTCCCACCACCAGCTGCATGACCTTGGCCAGTTCCGCAAAGTACAGAGTAAGCATAAGGAAACAAGAGAACCAGGGGGGGGAAGGTTACAAGAAGCGTTAAGCAGGTAACACCAGATACAATGGCAGCTAGCTGACAATAATAAAGGCAATAAAACCATTGACTGACAATCTCATTCAGTATAGGGGAACTTTGTGTTCTTTTTCTCTCTCCAAAAAACAAAAACAAACAAACTTAACTCCCCTCCCGGCCCTCTAATGGCTGCTCTGGACATCTTGCTGCTTGGAAAACAAGATAGAATCACAGGGCCTGGGTCGTCTGGACACACTGGACCCTGGGCAACCTAGATTCTAATCCCCGCTCTGCCATGGAAGCTTGCTGGGTGACCTTGGGCCTGTCACAAACTCTCAGCCTGGCCTACCTCACAGAATTGTTGTTGTGGCAAAATGGAGGAAGGGAGAACAATGTCCTAAACTGGTTTGCATCCCAATGGAGGAGAAAAGCAGGGTATCTGTCCGTCTGTCCATCCATCCGTCCATCCATCCACCCGAAATAGCTTTGCCCAGGCAAATCTGCCTCACTGCTGAAATGAATGTAGAAGCCGTTCCAGCATGCACAAAAGGCCTCTTAAGTTCCAGGTCAGAGCAAATGCATCCATGCAAATGCATGGATGCATTTGCTTCTGACCTGGAACGTAGAGATTTTTTGTGCATGCTGGAACGGCTTCTACATTCATTTCAGCAGAAAGGCGGGTTTGTCTGGGCAAAGCTGTTTCCAGACATGAAGCGACTTTGTCTATTGAAGAGAAAGTTCCATATGTACGTGCTCACTGGAACTCCTGCACCTATGGGAACGTCATCAGACTGAGGCCCTGCATAGCCCCATGTCTGATCAACCTACCTTACCAGCAAGCCTGTCTATCTGAGCTTCTGACTGTTCGAAGAGTCTGAACACAAAGAACAT